GCATCTTGTAGGCTCGACGAGACGAATCGTTTGATGTAACTTTAGCTGCGGATACCTTTTTTTAATAAAGTTACAACGGTTTAAAGTTTTTGACGCGATACCTTCATAGCCCTCCCCACCCCGAACCGCCGTGCTCTGTGTAGTCTAGTGGGTTAATGGTCGACGTCCGGGGATGGTGACCAGGGGTACGGATCCGCTCACGATTTTTATTTTTTGCTTTTTGGTCGAAAGCTTCCATTTTGCATCCCCCCAGACTACATTAACTTTTTTTTAATTTTCGGGTCCATATCCCCCATTAAATAAACATAAGCGGAACACAGGATTTGCGAGCTATAGTCATGGCTTGGTCATGGTGGTATCTTGGTGTGGGTGAAACTCCAAACACCAATGAATACTGTCACCAACTTCTTTGGTGTGGGTGCTGGAGATCAAAGAAAAAAAGTTAATGTAATCCTTCGGGAGATGCAAAATAGGCTTTTCGACATAAAATGAAAATTTCATCCCAGTTAGATTCCCTAATTCGAGGCGACTATCCCGGGCAGTCAAGCACCAAACCGACCAACCTCAAGCACTTTTTTTTTTTTTTTTTTTTTTTTTTTTTTTAACCAAAAAAAGGAAACTGTCTAACTAAAAAAAAATCAAGCGATTCGTCTCGTCGAGATCTACAAGATGCACATACTCACATAGCTGGGTCCGATGTCCCACTTAAAACATTCCCTAGTATTAAAGGGCTGGCGACGGCATCTGTCGATCCCCCCATCAACAAATTGGCACAGTAGCCAACGGGGCGAAAGAGCGCCCCCAGGCGCAGGAACATTTTCTTTCCCGCGCGTAATCCGATTGCATTATGCCGCCTCTATCCCTTTAAAAGCGTGCTTAATTGGTATAGAAAACGTACAAATTAAGAAAATCCAAACTCAGCAGAAATTTTTTGACTGTTTTTAGTTTAAAGTATGTAGATTTATGATGAATTTAAAGGAGTTTTTGGAGGCATGAAACGTGAAAGTTTCGACTGGCTTTTTACCCAGAAAACGGGCAGCCCGATCGCATGCCGAAGAGACCAGACCACAAATCAGCGCATTGTAATGGCGAGATCCTCGCCCGATTGCACTGTTCTCAAAGAGATTTCTGCGTCACGAGCACATTGTGTGTCTTGGTGAGACTTTCTTTTCCTTGTCTTGCCTTGAGTTTTGGTTTCTTATGGTATACGTATAAGCCAGACTACAGTAATACCCAAAATTTCAACTTCAGTTTGTTTTTAAATTACAATTTAACCCTGGTGAAAAGTTTAACTTCAATTTAGGTTCTAGGAATTTAATTCGTTTAATGGGGCATAATTCTATATAAAATCTGACCTTTTTCTATCTAAGCAATCATTTTACAGTACTATCCTCTTGGAATTAATTCAGCAGAAAAATCAAGATTTCTTAACACAGCTTTATCCCAGGTATTAGATATACCAATCGGGCTTTGACATCACTTTCGAATAGACCTTAAAATCCCACTAAGACCAGCCGCACACTATCCGGCACCTCACTTCCTAGCAGCCATCCTTTAGGAATATTCTTAGAAAATTTCCCAAGCAGCTCCGGCTGGCACCACAGAATATGTGTCGGCACTGCTATTTGCCATGCCAAAGAGCGTTCCCAAAAGCTGGGCGGTGTGAGGTGATAAGGCGCAGAATCAATATAAGCTTGGTCGCTGTGGTTTCTGACATGGAGAGTGTGTGCTATTTTGTCTCCAAACCGGGCCAATTTCTGCCGAGCGGGGTTCGCCAAAGCACACAACAAAAACTTTGGGAAAGCGGAAACCATTACAGGAAAATAATTTTGCGAAAAATGAAACATTTTCGGGGAAAAGATCATTTAATTACAGAAAAAGGCTGCGAGGGGTAGAAAAATATAAAGGGAGAGAGAGAACGAGAAAAAAAAATTAAAATACTTAATGTTAAGTATGTTGAGTTCCGAAGTCTTAAGTTTCGCTTAGGCTTAGGACTAGGCTCAGCTTAGGCTTAGCCTTTGGCTTAGTTAAGCTTAGGCTTAGCGTAGGCTTGGCTTGGGCGTGGCCGATACTCAGACAGGGTTTAAACAGCGAACTAATCAATTTCAAATGATTATTTCCCGCTATAACCGGAAGCGAAATGAAAGACAACTGATTACGCCGCCGGAACGGAAAAACAAGGGCTTCCCTCCCGGCGGCCCTGAAGTCCTATCCAAACATTGAAAAGGGCCTGCGGGACCCCCTTATTTTTCCAGGATCAATAGAGGATGGGAAAAGAAGGGGGAAGCGGTCATCTCATTGAAATACGTGCGATTATCCGATGGATCAAAAGGTCGGGCGGCTTTTCGAAAAAAGCGTGACGCTCTCGAGTTAGGCTATAAATTCACTCCTAGTTTTTCAAAGAAATTCCAGACAAAAACATAAAAAGGTGACTTGGTGCCAGAAAATCCCATCGCTAGGCTAGTACCAGAAAACTACAGGCTGCACCAAATGACGGGTTCGGAATTTGCTTTTCATTTTGAATTGAACTTGATTTTCACGCGGCTGGCTAAAAAATAATAGAAAACAATGTCATTCTCTCTCTCTCTCTCTTTCTCTCTCTCTCGCTCTTTCTCTCACTCTCGCTCTCTCTCTGCCAACTTACCGCTGGTCCATTGACTTGCAGCTTGTTGTTAAAATACTTCATTTGGAGTTTGGTCATCTTTTAGCTCCGTGAAATAGCAACTATCGAGATTTTGTTAAGGTGCTTTTTTCTGACGTTTTCTGATGTTCGTTTTTCTGACGAAATATTGCAGTCAAAACATTTGCATAATAAACATAAAGCTCAGCTATGGCGTCAAAGGGATGTCTTCGAAAGCATCTTTTTGAGCCTCGACTTGAACGCAATCTTATTTTTCTTCAGCTTCACCAATTTTCTTTGGTATAACCGGAAGTTTAAATATTTATTAGAAATGTCGAACACATACTTATATCATGCAAAATACATAAAAATATAACGATAAAAATATGGAAATATTGAAAGCGGAAGTGAGCAATGGTCCTTGAGAATGTGTATGTGGAGGGGAGGAGGCCGAGGGGAGACCTCCCGAAGATGGGACCCGTAGTAGAAGTTGGTGATGATCATAAGAGGGAGATACATCGAGAGATAATCGATAGTAGTTTCACGATCGTTCCCCGGCTCAAGTAGTACCACCAGTACAGTACTGAAATGTTGATTTTGATGGGTGTGATACAGAGAGAGAGAGAGAGAGAGAGAGAGAGACAGATGAGAGGGACAAAGAGAGAGTGAGAGAGAGAGAGAGAGAGAGAGAAAATGATACAAAGATTGTCAACCCTACTTACCATTGAAAAATGCAAACAACGCCGGAAACGTCTTGGCCGCGATCGCATCCACCCTGGCCCCCAGGTCGCCAGCAGCCTGAAGTTCCTTTCCCAACTCTTTCCACCAAAATCAAAGCCCATACCGCGTTTCGGCTCGCCAGATACGGCAGCGTGCCAATGGACCCGCTTCGCTCGGAATCGCCACTAAATCATCGTTTTAAAGGAGCATTGAATACAAAAAATCTCTAGCTGCCCATTCCACAGTACGACGTCGAGAGGGATCGGGGGATGGTTAGGTTGGGGAAATGAAGATCGACGGGCTGGGAGTTAGGGCAGACTACGGAAACGGTCGAAATGCCGACATTCGAAATGCCGACACCAATAATGCCGACAACTAATATGCCGACACGCAGACGCTTTCATCGTAATTCGGTTCAGCACACCGGGGTCGGTTATTTGGGAGTCGTTAGTTTCGTTTGTCGGTATTTTGTATGCATTGGTGTAGCCTTGTCGATGTTTGCTGTGTCGTCATGTAGTCCTGTCGGAATTCTTTATGTCATTTATTTGGTCTGTCGGTATTGCCGGTGACATTGTTTTTGCTCCGGTATTTCGGCTGTTGGCATTTTGAACTGTCGGCATTTTTAGTGTCGGCATTTTGACTGTCGGCATTTTCCATGTCGGCATTCCGACAGATGGCCCAGACTACGGTATTCTGGGTACTAGCGATATGTTTCTCTATCAGTCTCTCTACACCGCTATTTCCTCACATTTGTGTCGACATTCTCGCCATCGAATACCGGGGACCGCTAGAAGGTTTTTTGTGGGTTATTTTTCAGTTAGCATAATCTTATAGTTGACTTCGTCGACTTGAAAGACCGATTTGCCCTTCAAAAGTTCTGCTTTCATTCATTTTCTACAAAAAGTCCAAACATGCAGCAAACCATGGCATAATAACGCGATTTTTCAAGCTAGTTTTTTTTGTCAAATTTTTGCAACCAGTTTGAATTTTTAGCGCTAAAATGTGAACTCGTGGTTTTCGAGGACTGCAAAAATTCTATAAAACGCCCACTTGATCGTGTACTTCCACTCCTCTTCGTTGTTATTGAGATGGCTGAAGCGGATCGACGAGTCCTGCTTGGCCAGTGGACACGCCGCGGCCGACGGTCTGAAATGGGGCACTCTGGCTACGGTAGCTAGGGGTGGTATCCTAGCAGAAATCAGCAAAATCTATCAGTACACCAAGACCGGTGATTCGGCGCAATGAAAAAGCTGAAGGTGGGGCACTAAATTGTCAAATATCGGCATAAATCTGCCAAGAGAACAAAAAAGGCTAAAAATCGGGAATTTGGGAAAGTTGAGGTACCGTTAGTGCACACTCTCTTTCTGGCTCGCTCGCTCTGGCGCTCTCGCTCTCGCTCTCTCGTTCTCGCTCGCTCTCTCTCGCTCGCTTTCTTTCTCTCTCCCTCTCTCCCCCTCTCTCTCTCTCTCTTTCTTTCTCTCTTTCTTTCTTTCTCCCTCTCTCTTTCCCTCTCGTCCTCTCTCAGCTTTCCCAAATTCCCCGGAAAAAACAGGGCTACACAACACGCCAAATAATATGAGGCATACCGCCGATGAACCGGGGCCACCGGTATCCGCACATCATCCGTTCGGAGTCTTTATGGGGAAGGAATGGGGTGTATTTTAGGGATTGTATGGGGAATTCAGAGCAAACGGGGTTATGTGGTATTACCGTAGTTTCAAGTTATAGAAAACTCACTTTTTACATGCCGAAATGCCGCGTTGTTGCTTGTAGCGCGCCACGCGATGGGCACGACATCGGATTTCGGTGATTCTGAAGAGAATAGGGTAGTTCTAAGCGTTTTTGAGCCTGCAGAGCTTTTAGGAGCCACTTATACAGGGTGTCCCAAAAAAAAACCCCCCCTCGGCATTTGGCCGTCTTCCATCCGATCAGGACCAAATTTTTACCGGTGATGGGGACCCATAAAAACTATGTGCAGCCGAATTTTCTAAGCAAAATATCGTAAGACAAAGAGTTATATTGAAATTAAGGTTTATTTTGCCGATTTCACTAGGATTTTGATGGATTAGGGCCTCGAGATGTTTAGCAAAAATGAAGAGGGCACGTTTTTCCACCCGGAGGAATTTTTGATTTACGAAAATTACGTCAAAATCGGAACTTTTCATTAATCTTTATTATCAAAACGAACAGAAACGGACCCGAAAATGACGATTTTTGGGAAAATTACTCAAAATCGGCATGCTAATTGCGAAAACATAGCCAAAAATCGGTACTAGCGTTTCCCAAAAAGCAGTTTTTTAGCTATAACTTTTTTGTATGATAATATTTTGCTTAGAAAATTCAGCTGCACATAGTTTTTATGGGTCCCCATCGCTGGTAAAAATTTGGTCCCGATGGGATAGAAGACGGCCAAATGCCGAGGGGGGGTTTTTTTTTGGGACACCCTGTATAGGGTAGTTCTCAAGATCGGAAGCTTTTTGAAGCCTTTTCTAAGCCAGTTCTCACGATCTGAAGCTTTTTTTTGAAGCCTTTTCTAGGCCAGTTCGGAGGATCTGAAGCCTTTTCTAAGCCAGTTCTCAGGATCTGAAGCGTTTTGAAGCCACTTCTAAGCTGCTTCTTAGGCTCTCAAGCTTTTTGAAGCAACTAAGTTTTTTCAAAATCATTTTTTGTAACGTTGATTGTCATCAAACCCACTTGTCCACAAATCCGACCACCGCCAGCTCGACGAGCGAGAAGAAGATGAACGCGACGCAGACGAAGAACCACAGGTCGATGGCCTTGACGAAGGATACGCGCGGAAGATTTTTGACAATGTTACCGAACTAAAATTAAGTAAAGGAGTTAAACTCGTCCATTTTGCCAGACCTGGAATGTTAGAGCCATCAGCGAACTGACGCCCAAAGTGATCCGGGCCGGAAGGGGCTAAATATGATAATTTTTGCTGACATCATCTCTCTCCTCTCTTACTTTCTCTCCATCTCACTTGCTCTCTCCCTCTCCCTCTCTCTCGCCCTCTCTCTCTCTCTCTCTCTCGTATCACTCACCCGCGTATCTACCCAAAACGCGATCCACGAAATAAACACCGATAAATAGGTAGGCAGATACATCTGCAGCACGTAATACCCGTATAATCGTTTAAATCTGAAGGAACTTTTAGGTAAAAGGATCGCTAGTCGATAAACCTGAAAGTGACTTCAAGCTGGTCCCACATGCCGGCAGTATACTCGTTGGAGGTCATGCCCCACGTGACGTTGTAGAATTGGAAGTCCGGTAATCTGAAAAATAGCGCTTGAAGAGGGAGAGAGAGAGAGCGAGGGACAGAAAAGAATAGAACGAGAGAGTGAGAGCAGGGAGAGAGAGAGAGAGAGAGAGAGAGAGAGAGAGAGAGAGAGAGAGAGGGAGGGAGAGATAGCGAGAGGTCTTCCCGCCGTCTTTCCCTACCGAAAATCGTCGGGCGGCGGCATCGTCACAGGGCTCCAATCCTGCCACCGTAACCGCACTTCGGCCACGTTATAGAATACGATTCGAAGATCAGTGTACATTCTTGATTATCGATTGGAAAATTGGCGAGATGAAAACGACATGGGCCTTCTACACGAACTCGATAGTTCAGCCAGACAGTGCCTGAAAAAATTGGGGTATTCTTGTCATTCAAAAGCAAATGTACAGATTACCGTATGACGTCAGCCGAGTATTCTTAACGACTTACCATTCGGGTATATAATCAGCAACACATTTGAGGCAGGGCTCTTGTGCACTTCCGTCTTTTTTGCTATTGACGAAACAGACATTCGGAGTCCACAATTTGTCACTGACGGAGGAGTCGAGGGACAGGTTCGTTTTGCAGGAGAAGTTTCTGAAAAACATCGTTCCGTCTTTCCTGATGGCTTGCCCATACCGATATACCTAAGCATAACCCAAAGCCCAAACCTACGCCTAGACTTAAACCTAAGCCTAATCTTAAGCCCAAGGCCAAAATTATGCCCTAAACTTAAGCTTAAGTCGAAGCCGAAACCCAAGTTTACGTTTAAGCTTTTTTCTAAGACCAAAACGAGGCTTCAAGACTCACTTATACTCCAACCGCGAATCCGTCCAGACTTGCGAGAACCAGACATCAGCGATGAAAGATGAGGTGATCTCAGAAATCGATGAGATATCCTGAATCAAAATTAGCATACATTCCGTAACACAACCTGTACAGTCAATTCCCACCGATACAACCACACTCTCATTCGAAGGTACGACAGTTTTGTCGTACTCGTGCATGATCTCGGCCAAAAGACTTTTTGCGCTGGTTCGAGTTGTACTCGCAGACTTCGGATGGGGTGGTGTCCTGAGGCGTTATCTGGAATAATGCAAAATCATAGTATCTAGGTATTCTTGGTGAATGTAATTGCATCTTAAAGGGCTTGAGAAGAGTGAGAATCGACCCCTGCCACCACTTGGTCTCGACAACTACCCATGGACCCTAATGAGGATTTCAAAGTTTTAATTTCACGTCTTGTTTCCAAAGCATTAAAACGAGACAAAATATTTCGTTAGGTGTAGTCTGTAGCTGTCTAGAGCCAAGCGGAAAATGGGGTTGACTTTCAACTTTCAACTAACTTTCAACCCACCAATTTTTTGTCAAGATCTAGTCACCGAAAATGAGTTTTTCTAACAAATACGAGTCCCTTTGAAGACACCAAAAAACTCACCTCAACAATGCTCTGCGTCTCGGTGAGTAAGGTATTGCAGCTGAGGACGAGCATCAGCAACAAGTCGTGTACCATCGTCACCTAGTAGCGCAGAATACTTCGGCCCTCACCACCAGTACACGCCTAATGTCTGCAGAACATTCCTGGAATTGCCAAATTACAGGAGTGGACGAGAGAGAGAGAGAGAGAGGATGACACAGCGCTAATGACTTCAAAGAACAGCGCCATTCGAATAATAAAAGCCCAAATGTAGCCCAAATTGCCAAAATAACAAGTGCTAGATTTTTCTTGTTTTTGGCCGCCTATTGCAAAGGTTGCAGAAGCCCCCAAGGATTCTTGGCGATTTAAGGTTTCGGGGTGTAAATTTAAAAAATGGAGCTCGAAAATCGTGCCTGCTAGGGTTTTCTCCGCATTTCTTTTTTCTCTTTCACTCTAGCTCTCTTTCCGGACTAATTTTGAAGCTAAAAACCATAAAAAATAAAATAAAAAGCTAAATTTTGCCAATGGGCTTAAAAATGGTTCAAGCTAGGCTCCAAGCGGAACAAACCCAATTATGCCCACGCGTTTTTAAATGAGGAGCCAATTTTCCAAAAATTGTAATGCAATTATAGCACGCATCCGGCGATTAGCAAAAATGAATCGGGAAATTGGCGGCGACAAGGGAATAGAAGCGATGTAGTATGTACTCTTCAAAAACATCTTACTTCAAAAGACATTTTGGAGGGGACTGAATTTAGACAATCTTCTCTCTCTCTCTCTCTCTCTCTCTCTCTCTCTTTCTCTCGCTCTCTCGGTCTCTCTCCCCAAAGTAAAAATGCAAATTCTTAGCTTGAGAACAATGGGCATTAATTGAAACCATTGAAAATCGGAATATTCTGATATCTGTACGATTGTGATACCACCAAAATGATGCTCAAAAATCTCAAAGCGATTCGATGAGACTAGATTCCCCGCAAATGGCAAACGGCCACCGGAAGTCGTTAATACCAAGAAAATCGAGACGGTCCGGAAAACCCGGAAACGCATCTAATCCCGGGATATTACCTTTTAAGAAGTATGCGTTCAGAGGAGCATCGCGTAGTGAATAAGTAAAAGTGAAGCGGCACTTAGAGATCGAGTGGATTAGCGAATGTAGGAAATAGTAATTTAGATTCATTCGAAAGATGGCTCAGCGAGAGAGAGAGAGAGAGAGAGAGAGAGGAGAGAGAGAGAGAAGATGAAGAAAGAGAGAAATGCGAAAAAATAGTCCAAACAAACCAAATAAGTCTCGAGCCCTGTACCCCCTCCTAACTAACCCGAATAGCACCGGAAACAAACTAAAGACGACGTGTGTAGTCTCGGAACAGCACGAAAACAATTGCCATCGCGCGTCCCCTTGGGGCCCCCAGATGGAAATTAGGGCCCAAAGGGGGTGACGATTCGCCGAGTTTTTGAGGGGCTTCTTCTAACCGCCCCGACAACGTCGAATTTGTGGCTGGCCCTCCGGAATTGTTGAAGTCGGACAAGGGCCCGTGGCGATTAATTGCTAAAACGTGGCCGGGGCCTGGTAGGGGCCCACGAGGGGGCTGAGAGCTTGAGATTGGCCCCGGAGAGATAGCTGCTTTCTGCCAATGAGGGCGAGGGAGAAGGAGGAAGAGGAAGAGGAAGAGCGATTTGTCTAGATTTTGGAGTAGCACTTCTGGGAATAGTCTAGTTGGTTGGAAAAAACTGGATCGCGACCCCGTCTTGCAAGTTAAAGGGGCGCGCAAGGCACGGATTTGTATATTTAGTCATGGATTCTCCATTTTAGTTTTCCGCCCGCGCGCAAAACCATAGCCAATTTTTAAGCTGGTGTGCCCGGTCCTTTAAAGGGAGGATACCTCGAAAATCGACGGGGCCCTCAGGCTGGGTCTAGACAGCTACAGTCCTACCAAAAAAACGTTTTAAAAGGCTATACCTTGGCAAGTACACCTTGCGCCGTGTTTTGGAGTGAAGTGTAGCTGCCGATATCTGGCGGACGAAAAGTTTCGAATCTCGCAATTTCTGACCTGGTTACTGCACCAAAATTTTATGAGCTGGCGACATAATTGTGAAGAAAAGACACTTTCAAAAGCTTCATTAACTTCAAAAATTTAAGTTTTGAAAGACCGTCTCTTACAACAGTTTCTCTAGCACCAAATAGCACGCCAATCGCATCATAGCACCAAAACCTAAACGAAGGGCCTCTTATAAATTGCCCGTTTTTACTATAACCACCACTTAAACGCCACCACCCCCTGCTAGAGGCCATTCGAAAAGGGATAGACACGCCATCCGGGCCCATCATCATCGCATGCTTAATTGCCGGAGGGCATTCCAGGACAAACCCTATATTTTTGAGGTGGCGGTGCAGCCGAGACAAATGGGCTTATGAAAGCGCAGCGGAACAGCCAAATTTTTGGATTTTTCAGGTACTGGAAAGTGCGAAAATCGGTCTCTACCCTCGACTAGGTCTAGACAGCGATGTGATACACCAATTGACGTTGATTAGCCCATCAATTCTTCCAAAAAAATCGTTTTAAGTTCTATGGAAAGTGCAGTAGGGACCAAAAAGGAAGGGGGATTACGACCTCTTTAAAGGAACAGGCAAGGCAAGGCTTATGGATTTGACAGAAACAGGCAGGCAGTGGACTACGTAACCAAATACGCAAGATAACTACCCGTCTTCAATGTCGGAATTGTTGCCGTAAAAGAAAGCGGGGTCGAAAGATGCAAAATTAAAACCAGGCGCGCGCGGCAGATACCCCCTTCCTGCGACACGCAACGCGTACGTAAGGAGAAGTCTGGAGGCGCGTTGCCTGTCGCGAACACGGCAATCCTGTCGCGAAGTTTTCGACAACAAAAACCGATACGGATGACTTGCGCGGACCTTTAAGTCCCCAAATCGAAAGTGTTCTTAGCCGAAGTTAAAATACTGCATTTTAAAATAATTTAAAATGAGACCAGGTAAGTCATAAAATAACACAAATAGCCAAATAAGTGCCCCCGGAAAGGCCCACGATTAGCTTCTCCTTGGGGCTGATGCTCAAAAATTCATCCCATCCAGCGTGTGCGTGCTGTCAGGGTATGGGTGGAGAAGACCCGGCACGGCCCAAGTGTATTTCGGCCCCAAGAAGACCGAAAAATTGTGTTTGGCCTCCTCGAGAATGATGGAGCCCAAGATGAAGCCCCTGCTTAATTTTATGACCCCCTCAAGGCCAACTGCCTAATTTGATTGACAGTTTTTGAAATTTTTTGCGTCACGCTCGTCACGGTGTCGAGGCGGCTTTTTGGTCGGTTATGGAATGGAGGAGGGGATAAATTAGAATCCTTATTTTTAGGGGTGAAGCTGCCAGGAGGCAATCTATTTTCGGAGAGCTGGTGAAGATCATGGGAGATACGGGACGCGGGATCGAGCGGTTTTGCAAGCTAATTTTCTGAGAAACTGGAGCACGAGGTTTGGGGTAGAAAAATATTTTGACCAGATTTAAATAAACGATAGTTTCCAAAAAAGCTCAAAATGACGAAATTCTCGTTTCAGAAGAACCGAACATTTCTGTAAAAAAACCTTAAAGCTAAAAAACACAGCGGAAAAAAGAGCGAAAGAGAGAAAGGGAGAGAGAGAGAGAGAGAGAGAGAGAGAGAGAGAGAGAGAAAGAGAGAGAGAGCAAAATAAGCTCATTTTTGACGCACTACCATCAACGAAATCTCCACTAATCTCCTGTTTTTCTGGTCCCATCATACACCTCGAAGATCCATAAATTTGGAAT